ACACTGAATGTATTCCTCGATTTAGTTTTACTAAAAGTGAAAAACTGATTAACCTTTTGAACATGAGCGAGGGGATAGGTAATGTAGAATTTGTTGTTAACGAACCTAGAGCGCAACAATCGGGAACTAAAGGTAAAGAAAGTAGTAAAGTAGTTGCTGGGAATCAAGGGGCAAATGTTTGTGACAGTCCTCTTGAGACTCAGGAACAAACCAGGCGCTTCAGATCTGTGCTGTCATTTGGACAAAAAGGTGAGTCTGTTGGAATGCTTAACACTCCCTGGGCTGTGGCAGCGAATGATCGTGATGAAATCGCTGTGACTGAGTTCAATAACCACAGGGTTTCAGTGTTTAGTAGTGACGGTACCCACTTAAGATCGTTTGGTAGGAAGGGTAAGAATAATGGTGCGTTCCAGTTCCCTACAGGGATCGCTTTTGATAGTCTTGGCAATATTGTAGTGGCAGAGAATAATAACCACAGGGTGCAAGTCTTTGATAGGACTGGTAACTTTCTTAGTAAGTTTGGTAAACAAGGAAGTGGTGATAATCAGCTTAAACACCCTGAAGGTTTATCAATAAACGGTAACGGTGATATTATTGTTGCTGATTGGAAAAACAAATTAATCAAGATATTCTCTTCTAGTGGGGAGTATTTACGTAAATTTGGTGGAGCAGGTTCTTTGGTCTCTCCCATTCACTGTATCCAACACGGTCAATATTTTATAGTCTCAGACGCTGGTGATCATTCCATTAAAATGTTTAATCTTGAGGGAAAGTTTATTTCTAAATTTGGAAAACAGGGAAACAAGGATGGAGAATTCAATGAGCCCCGTTACTTGTCAGTTAGCAAAGAAGGATTGCTAATGGTCTGTGATGCAAATAATCACAGAGTTCAGGTATTTGAACTGAGTGGAAAGTTTGTCACAAAGTTTGGAAGTGAAGGTAGTGAGAGAGGAATGTTTAACTTTCCAAGGGCTACAGCAAGTCTTGGTGATGGAAGGATAGTTGTGTGTGATAAGGAAAACAACCGAATCCAGGTTTTTGACAAGATATAATATGATCTTGATTACCAGTGGTATAATTATTGTTGAAAAGTTCAAATTGGTTTTGTAGAATAAGAAACCGTAATTTTTCGAACAACACCATCTCGTGAGGTATTTGTCACTGTTGACCTTTT